AACACTGAAAAGCAAGATTGCCTCATTCACATGCTTGCATCCAAACAATTGCATTTTTTTTTTTTTTTAATTTCAGGTTCCAACAATGTCTCACCCATCTTGGCTGCCACCCAAAAGTACTGGTGAGCCCCTAGGCCATGTGTCTGCACGGATGGAGACCACACATTCCTTTGGGACCCCCAGCATTTCAGTGTCTACACAACAACCACCCAAAAAGTTTGCACCAGTAGTTGCTCCAAAGCCCAAGTACAACCCATACAAGCAACCTGGAGGTGAAGGTAAGTGTAGGTCTTTCAGAGTTGGGCAGCCAAAGTGGGAGGGAGAGCTCAATATAATAAAAGTGATTGACAGCACAATGAGTCGGATAAAGGTAGCTCAAAAATTTGTAATGTTTCTTATAGTTGGTTGACAGCTAAGAACACCTAGGAACCATCTAAGCCAACTCTTCTTTTAGGGTAAAGAGAGTGAGACCTCTTATATGGCTATGGTTACACAATGAGTAAAGGCTAGAGCCAAAACTAGGACCCTGCTTTCTTCATTTGTAACTCACTGTCCTGTTGCATTATTCTCTACTTCCTCCCATTGTCCTGCAGAAATGTGTCTACTACCCAGTGGACTCTCCCCCTTGCCATTGGACAAGTGTCTCAAACTGCTGCCATGTACTCGAAAGAGAAACCCACATGAAGTGAACCTAATAAGACACCTAAAATTGGTTTGACTTCTCTGGCTATTTTTTTCCTCCTCTAGGTTGCTGTAGGATAAAGTTATCTGGAGAACTCTGTGAGATCTGTATTTGTAGAAACACACTGAGTAATATGAGTGAAGTCTTGTGTTAGGGGTTTTAATAGCAGTACATTCAGTTAACATCTAGTGGAGTTTGGAGATCTGCATGAGCTTAGCATCCTAGGCATATATGTATGTGCACATTCAACCTGCTAAACCCCATAGGAAGCACAAAGAAAGCCATATTGTTTGGATGAAGTGATGCCACATTTAGCTAATTAATCTCAGCAGTTCATCCAAACTCATGAAAGAATGTGTTATAACTAACAAACAGAAGAACATTAGACTTCTGGTTGCTGAGACAGAAGCGGCAGTGAAAGAAGATTCAACCCCCCTTTCTCTATTTTTTCCTCCCTCCCCTCAATCCTGCTTTTTCAAAAAAAAAAATATGGTATTCTCTCCAGGATGTTTTTACTTCCTTCTTGGATGATATTAGTGTTTTTGTTACAGCAATTTTGCGTGAAATCTTTTCTCACTCCGTGATAGAGTTCAGCCTCTCTTTTCTCATTCTAGTCCACTCCCTGCTCCCAGTCAACACTTTACTAGTCTATTAGTATTTTAGGACTGAAATCAGAAGCCTGGCCCAGATGACTAGCTGTATAAGGGGGGCTGGGTGTTTAGGCAGATGGTGGGGAGGCCAGTCACCCGCATGTACATGTGAGCTGTGGCTATGGGTCTTTTTCGGCATCTTTTCTCCAGAAAGTACAATGTCCAGACCATCAGAGAGCTTCTGTGGAAAAACAATAAACAATGCCCTTGGCTCTCTGCTATTCCCCACCAAAGTGCCTGAAGTAACATTGACCTTGCAGGAGGTTGCAGCTTTGCAGTTAATCAGGACTCCCTGGAACTAGTTTTCTTTGCCTCATTGTTCTTCAGTGATTGCAGAACTCAGGAATGGGATCTGGAAGAGAATCCCTCCTCCCAGAAGAGCCATATGTTGGCTTTCTTCTTATTATTATTATTTTTCTCAATGTTTCCCCTGTTCTGCTTACCAGGGGGATTGCTATTTTGTCTCCTAACTTTTGGGGAGAACTAAAATGGACCTCCCTCTAACATGAAAGGAATGAAGACAGGGTCCATTATCGAGTAGAAGACAAATGTGTGAGGAAGTCTTATTGGGTATGGGTATGACATTTGATGCACAACCAATATAGGGGGCAGGTCCTATATTAAGTGTCAGCTAATAAATGCCATGCAGGAGAGGGAGGAGAGCTGCATATAATGGTCTCCCTTAGCCTTCTTCACTCTGAATGTTATGAATTGCGGTGAGCTAGCTCTTGGGTGACTCTCCCTGCCTTGAGCTGCTCCACCTTCTTTACTGCACTGTGTGAGGTTCATGTACTGTCTCTCTTGTTCTCTAGGGACACTGGTGCATTCTCTGATACTCTGCCTCTCTTAGCTCAGCTCTTTGCTTTTTCGTAACATGCCATTCCACACCTTTTATCACCTATCAAAATCTTACTTGAACCACCTTCTCCAAAGTGTCTAGGTCTGGCCTAGATCAGAAGTAATCATCACTTCCTTCCCTGGGTTCCCACATACGTCTTACTCTGACTATCAAATTTCTACTTTGGTTATTTCTCCTGCTTTTACTCTGTCAGACATTGAAAATGTAGTCTGTAATGCACTGTGCTTTTTCATTATCATCCCATTGCCTTCTTTTTAACCCTATGTAGTAAGTGTCTTTTTGCATAAATGTAAGCTTAGAGAGGAGAGACGTCATTCTGTATGGTTTCATGGCTACTAAGTTTTTGAAAGGAGGGCATTGTCCTTACCCAGCGTGCTACACTGCTTATCCTATTCATGGCAAATGTGGCACTGGGGCCCCATATGACAGAGATTCTTTCCTGTTTCCTTGTGAGAATGCAAGCTTTGTTTCCCCATTTAAGCACAAGACTTGGTTTCTCACTCGTCCTTATGTTCCTCTTGGCTCTTATTATGCTACTGTGTTTTTAGTAGGAATGATTGTGTATGGTCAAATGTATGTCTGTATGTTCTTATGTATGTATATATTTGGATGGGTGGCGGATGGCGGATGGCTGGATGGATGGAGACAGCACTCAGTGATTGTTTTCCTACAATAAACAGTTTGGAATATGGGATCCTCATGCGAAGCAGCTCAGTCTCATTTAATTTCTGAAGGTTTGATTCTTTCTTGCAGTTCTGCCAATCTCTCTCTTTTTAATATAACCTTTTTTGAATACGTGACGGAAAAAAAACATTTCCCTTGCATACATACATTTTAAAGACAAATATGGGGAAAGGTTTATGGATATTCAGACTTTTTAAAATGCAGCTACATCTCTTCATCTGCTGTATATTATGACATAATATTTGTTAGAAGTACAAGATTTGCTTTACTTTATATTTAATTTAGATGTTAGTGCATTCTTTGTTACTCAAAACATTTTTATAATTCATGTTATTTTTGCTTAAATTTTTATACGTTTGAAAGTTTATATCCATTTTCTTTTTCATTTCTGTCCATTTAGAATGTTCTGTGCCATTAGTGAAATCCCCAGAGAGTAGGTAACAGTTTTTTTTTTACAGGGTGGATGGTTTGTGCCATGATCTTGTGCCTCAGCTCTCACCATCTTTTGCTGTTAATTTATATTCTCCTGAATTTCTGTCTCATAAAGTCTTTTTATTTATAGCTAAATACAGAGATTGACCTCCAAGAATGCAATAGAAAATATAAAAGGATAGGACTAATAGAAGTCACATGGTCCACCTTTTCCTGGTATAAATGTGAGAGCGGTAGTGCAGAGTATATATGATTTGCTCTGAGATGCACAGCCTGCTCAGGGCTGAGTTGGCACTAGACCTCAGGTACTCTCTGAGCCCAGCATTGCCCAGGACCTTGTATTATATTCTAGTGAGGTCTCTTTTTCACCATGCCACAACCTTTTTATGCATCTCCTGCCATTCTTTTCATGTGTCTTCTAATTGAATGACTTGGGTATGAACCTATCTGCTTTAGCAGACTCAGGGCTTACTCCCAAAAGCACCAAGCAATGTGCCTGACACATATTAGGTACTCAATTATGTTTGAGATGATAGTTAAGCCACAGAACATAAAGCTGCTTATCCAGGCACAGGTTCTAACTTCTCAAATACTTACTAAGCTTTATGGTTCTGCAGCTCAACCTAAGTGTTAGAGTTACTTTTAGCCGCCTTTACTCATTCCTGGAGCTTTTTAGCCCAGGAGTTGCTTCACTGCTACCTTGAAGTTACCAATTACATTTCTCACCTTGGTTATTAGATCTGTCATTTCTGGAGTTTGCTTTCTCATTTTTTAATTCTGACTGTGAAAGTGGAAAAGTACCCACATTTTTCCACATCAACTTATATTTATATACCATATGTTATAATTTTCTTTTATAAAGTATTCTGCGTATAATCTTTCTCTAAAGGGCTTTGGCACACTTAAGAGTGGGGTGTGATTTTTCTCCCCAGTTAGTAGCTTTTTAGACCTTAGGGTTCTTTTATTTTATGCATACTTTTCATTGATTTTTTTTTTTTTTAACAATTTGTGTCTCCTTCCCTGTTTGGAATGCCCCTGCATTTCCAAATGCCTTTTTGTGTCCTCTACTATGTGCTTATGAATATATATCTAAAGTTTTTTCTTCATACAGATTTTTTCATGTTAAGTGTCCTTGTCATTTTTATGGGATGGTTTGGGTATGTATGTATGGTTTTGTTTCATCACCTTCTATTGTGGACTAATGAGGGCAACAGGATGATGTGATTTTTCTTTTGGTCTTTAAGGTACTAGTCAGTAGTGTTCTTTATTATATAATCTGAATCTCTGCCATCTCTACCTCAAATTTGCAAACAAACAAAAAAACATCCCCAAAACAAAGCCTTTGATGGCAAAACAGGTCCTAGATCTTTCTTACCAAACAAAGTGAGATTTCCTACTTTACTTATACATTATTTTCTTGAGGATTTTGAAATTTACCTGTCATTTTTTATCCTTTATTACAATAGATTACCATATAGAAGGATTTGTAAAGTTTGCATGTTTTTAAAGTTGGAGTTGTCTTGTGGCCTGGAGTTGACTTTTTCCAATCTCTAAATTTTTAAAAACATTTTAAATCTAAGATTCTTGAAAAAGTAAATCTTCAGGGTACAGACTCAATTTGACCTTTTCAGCATAATACTTTTGTATTTGTACAATTCTTTATAATTCATACCGTGCTTACATAGTGATATCGTTCAATTCTCAAAAGAAAATTCTTACTTACTTAAGTTCTCTGAATTAGGTGGAATAGATGTTACTGCCATATTACTGAGTGGTAACCTACCAGAAGTGAAATAACTTATTTAGTAATCACATAGCTGGTAAAATAGTAGAGCTAAGCTCTGCTCTTCATATCTAGGACTTTTGATGATTTTAAAGGGTTCCATTTATTGGCGATTGGGCTAGATTGCTTTGTTCATTTTCATTCCATTATGTTATGATTCCAAGATCCTTTTTTTGAAATTAATTTCA